ATTTCGACTTCTATCCTAATGTAAATAGTTCCATGCATGAATTCACAAAAGTTGCGTCCCGTAATTGATCGGGGTAGCATTTGTCTCCAGCAACACATGCAAGTTTAAAGAGGTTGTAACGCAATTGGGTTGCTAGGGTTGTTCGGTGAAGTGTAACGCAATGCCTGGCGTCAATCACTGGATTGTCTGATCCAGACGACGACGTTATTTAAAGACCATCTTCATATAGCCTGGGCGTCATTAGACATCAGAAAAACAAATAATCAGACACTCGTATACTAAAACATCAGATAACATATGGTGTGTAAAGTACTATTTCGTAGAAGGCTGCATCTCATTAAGAGACTATTACTTTGTTTTGTTGCTCAAACAACAAGACATTGTTATAAGAGACTCTTATCTTTTGCCAGGTAAATACTCATACGACGCTTGATGTTAATGTTCTGTTTACATGGCGTATGACCTTGAGCTGTTGTAAAGCCAACACAGAGGCCGTGTCTATAGCTACAGGTACATTCAGGGGCTTGGCTAGTGGGAGCAAGGATACCTGTGTTTCACAGTACTCGGCGCAGAGGTGGCCCTATGTAACTACTCACACAAACTAATTATTCCACTCCAGCGCGCTAAACAATGACAGATTCACAACAGGCACCTCTTCCCTAATGCATTCTTGTTTTGGCACTGTAAAAATGGCAGGACTGGTTTAATTGTTGAATGTGAGTGTTTATGTCAATGTCAGACCGCCTCCATGATCCAGTGGGTAGATCATCTGTCCGGAGAGTGGAAGGTTGGGTTCGATCCATGGCCGCGTCATACTAAAAGATCAGGCAATGAAATGACAAATATCCTCATTTTACGTATTTTTGTTTGACCCTTGACCTTCCAAGGTCTTGTTATGATTCAACCCAAATTCATAAACATTGATGCCATAAATAATAAACTAAGAAAATAAAATTTAATGATGGTGTGTGGTAACCTTATTTGTGACTTCCATCTGGACCTAAGTTTAATAAATATTTAAATTTTGCAACCAAGTAGGTGAATAAGGCTTCTGAAAAATTGTAAAAGCTTTCACTCACCACTCGGGAATATTGTTTTCAAATGTATTCCTACTTCGTAACAAACATATCAATATAAACTGACTGGAAGATAAAAAATGAAAGAAGCAGTATCGACACACATACTGATATGTGTGGCAGCCAATAAATATTCGACCGTGGACGAGACATATTAACGACTGATATTATGTCAAACGTCCTTTGTAACCGTCGTCACATGGCCCGTAGTTAACCAATCACTCCAAATTACCTCGGATTCATACATACCTTGTCAATCGTAATATCAGTTTTCAAACTAATCATACCAAGAATATAGATTACCATCGCTGATCTTTGATAAAGACCGTGGCAGTTCCTTTACGAGGGGTTGTTTTTTATAAGAGAATAGATGTTTATAAGATAATTCACATTTTGATAGATGAATTTTGTTCATTCATTAGCGACTAACGGCTTACGTAGGTCTTGGTTGAGTCATTGGCACATAGCTCATGCTGCTGAAACCAAATCTGTTATTCGTTTCTTTTGTCAGCTGAAACATTTATCAGTGTATGTTGTTATTCGTTTATAAAGCTGAAACATTTATCAGTGTATGTTGGTTTATACTGCATCATAGCTGTTTCTGGAAGGTTGACTGTGCCTACAGGATACAAAGGTGAGAAGAGATCGACTCGACCTTTCCGACTTGACGTATGGCTTATCTTGAACATCTAACCATACCAGTAAGGAATGAGAAGAGCACCATTGCTTCACCAAGGCAAATACTGATCTGATCAACCAGCTAATCTCTGTACGAACGGGAGGCAATAGTAAGCGTCATAATTAACCTACTGACTATTTAAATGCAAGGCCGTTTATGTTGTTACCACAGACCGCGGGAACCATTCTGCCATAAAGTGTTGTTTTCATAGCCATGAGTGGTTAGTTACAAGCATGATAGATTTGGTGGATGGAGAAGTTTCATGACGGGACAGTTTCTGGAAGGTTGACTGTGCCTACAGGCTACAAAAAAGAGAGAAGAGGTTGACTAGACCTTTCCTACTTGACGTATGGCTTATCTTGAATATCTAAACCATACCAGTAAGGAATAAGAAGAGCACCATTGGCTCACCAAGGTACATACTGATCTGATCAACCAGCTAATCTCTGTACGACCGGGAGGCAATAGTAAGCGTCATAATTAACTGTTTCTTTGGTAATTTCCCCTCTTTGTCATGTAAACAGTCAGTTCTGAAGGTATCCGCCGGCGCCCCCCCCCCAACATATAGTTTCTTCCCCCCCCATGTTCGTTTTTGTTCGAATCTAGGTTGGGTATGATAAAGACACCTTTAAGGAAGGTGAAACCTCGGATCTGAGCATCATGGGAACAGTGTGGGGGACACTCAGGGGATCAATATTGGCGTATCTCAACACTTCCATAATGGTGGCCTGTTCGTTGGGAAGGTTCGTCTAGTCTTTCATGGACGACTGTCTACTCTGGCCTACGTTTTCCCCGGATTTCTTGGCAGCACTTCTCTTGTACACCCGGGTAGATCAGCATCCAGCGTATTGTGGTGGCAATTTGTTTCTATTCAGTGAATAGATATGTCATTGAGGCATTCTCAAATTTCGTGCATATTTCATTTAGGTAAAAATTGTAAGTTTTGTTTGCTTGCTTTACCATGAAATGTTGTTGACTACGGTCATAGTATTCTGAATGTACAAAACATACATTATGCAAGCTTAACGACATTTCATTTTTCATATTTTATCCTTCTAATTAGAAATTTCATGAAATTGCGTCACTACCGGTATGAAATTTGTAAAGTCATTTTGAAAAGAAAATATGAAACAAAGATGAAATCATTTAATGTATATATATTAAAATATCTAGTTTTTCAATATGACATGGCTAATGAGTTTTGAAATGTTATATGCATTGCTTAAAATGGCCAACAAGCCAACAATTCCTTTCATTTCTGATTTGCAAATGTAAAGTAATACACATTGGCTACAAGTAATCTCCAGTTCTTTGGCTCTTTATGCAACACTAGTTGTGATAATCTCACGAAACACATATTCTGTGCTTCCATGGCTATTCCGCGCCGAAAATCAACTATTTGTGGAGATCTTCAGTCTGTTTTGTGCAAATACAATCTTACAAACTACTTCTACGTATTTATACTTATTTATACAGTGGTTCATTTCCCACCAAACACCAGTGGAGACGAATTGTAAACAAACAAGTACAAGAATACGAGGAACAAATGTGGCGTAACAAAGTATCACTTAATGCAGGACTGTCTCCTTACATGCGAGCTCACACATCACTGACATATCACATACTTTAGAACATTTTTATAGCCTGAACACAGAACAGCCTTGCAATTATGTTTTAAAATTTCATCACGAAATAAAGTTTCAAAAGAATGTTTGCTATGTAACAAGATTATGACAACCATGTGATACTACACTGTGAAAACTTATTACCTCTCCGAAATAACTTTTTCTCATCTCTGATTGATCTACTTGATGTTGAAACCTATGTAATTTTTGAAATGTTGGAAGATCGACGAAATGTTGTCAACTCTCCAACATGCAGATACACAGTTCACACGATCCCTAGTGCGGGACACATACCATGTTGTCAACTCTCCAAGGTGCAGATACACAGTTCACATGATCCCTAGTGCGGGACACATACCATGTTGTCAACTCTCCAAGGTGCAGATACACAGTTCCATGTTGTCATGATCCCTAGTGCGGGACACATACCATGTTGTCAACTCTCCAAGGTGCAGATACACAGTTCACATGATCCCTAGTGCGGGACACATACCATGTTGTCAGCTCTCCAAGGTGCAGATACACAGTTCACATGATCCCTAGTGCGGGACACATACCATGTTGTCAGCTCTCCAAGGTGCAGATACACAGTTCACATGATCCCTAGTGCGGGACACATACCATGTTGTCAGCTCTCCAAGGTGCAGATACACAGTTCACATGATCCCTAGTGCGGGACACATACCATGTTGTCAACTCTCCAAGGTGCAGATACACAGTTCACATGATCCCTAGTGCGGGACACATACCATGTTGTCAGCTCTCCAAGGTGCAGATACACAGTTCACATGATCCCTAGTGCGGGACACATACCATGTTGTCATTATAAACTTTGCAACATATGTCTATCATTTGAAACAATATCTTGAGTTTGTACATGTATTTTAATGGAGACACTCTGTGTACAAGTGACGCCATCCCCTCTGTGAATGTTTGATTATATTTCTGTACATATCAATTGTCAACTATCAGTGACATTGTCAAATCTCTTTATTCCACTACTGAAGAGGCCACAGGCCTATAGTACAAAATATAAAAACAATAATGGCATACAATCACAATGTTTGCAAACGTTATTTTCTTTGTTCAAAAGCATGGTGGATATACATACCAAGTTTACGAATATAAGTTGTATTATTAGAGTTCATTATCAAATTAAATTTAAACATGGTAGGATGTGAATAGTAATATTGTGGTATATATTTTGTCCTTAAATCAGCATAGTAAGGACATACCAGCAAAAAGTGGAACTCATCTTCAATTACATTTAGTGCACAAAATTTGCACAATCTGTTTTCTCTTGGAATATTATAATATCTGCCCTTCTTGATCATAAGATCATGTGAAGAGCATCTAAATCTGGATAATGAAACGTGGAATTTTCTAAGATTAATATCGTGTAGGTATTGCTCTGTATGGAAAAAAGATTTAAAAGTACTGTAAAAAGTGGATTTGGGCGACAGTATTAAAGATGAGTTCCAGGTCTGAATGTACATATCTTTTAATCTTTGCGATAAAGCATTATAAAATGACTTTGGGCAGGTAATCTTTTGTGACAAAAATACATCACTAAAACCACAATGATTTAGTAAATTTTTTAACATTCGTTACCCATTTTGATTTTCCGTTGGTGTCAAACAAATACATCATGTTATAACATTTCTTAGGAAATCTTGATGCAGGCATATTCAAGAGCTTTACCCAGTATTTGATAACTTTTATCTGTGCTTCTAGATAAAGTGGGAAGCGACCGCATTCACCATAGATCATTGTCATGTAAAAGACAGGTAAAAGACGGCATGTTACGGCAGTGACATTTGTGATGGTATATAATGTCACCACCGTAATGGCCTATCACAGCCGTGTTCTTCTTTGTCATAGCCGTTACTCTACCCTGTCCTTACCGTAACAAAAAAATCATACTTATATGCTTATTGATTTTATTCATTTGATACAATTTTTTTTATGTTAAATAAGATTCCCAAAACATTTGATATCTTTGATTTAAACATTTAGATACAAACAAAAAATCACGATGTTGGAGAACTCATAGAATCTAGGTTGTTTAACTCCGCACTCAGCGATATTAGTTAATGGTCGAGCCTGCACCAGACAATCCAGTGATCAACATCACGCAATTGGGAGACGATGATCACCCGATGCTGTTAGTCGCCTCTTACGACAAGCATGGGTTACTGAAGACCAATTCTAACACGGATCTTCACGGCTACATAGGCATTGTGTTCTTTTTAACATTGTGATGATCCGAACAATATTAGTTTCGGGGGATAACGTTTAGTTTGAATTCCTTTGGCGAATATGATAAACCCAGTATTCCTTCCATTGGAGGCTTTTCCCCGTTCACTGGGCCGAACTTGAATCTCTGAATCATGGTGGTGAGGAAGAGGAAGAGCTCCATCCGGGACATTGACTCCCCCAGGCAAACCCTTCGTCCTTGAAATATGAAAAACAAAGGTACAGTGTCATTACTGTATGTATGTATGTGTGTGTGCGTGCGTGTGTGCGTGCGTGCGTGCATGTATGTATGCACATCTGTATGTGCGTGCGTGTGCGTTTGCGTGCGTGTATGTGTATGTGTGCGTGTGTGTGCGTGTGCATGTATATGTACATGTGGTTACAGGTCTATTGCTTACCATATCTCGAGTTTGTAGGTGACTCACCCAAAGAAAAGGGGATAAATTCCTCCCTCTTCTGAATCTTGCCTGCGTCATCGAGGAAACGGTCCGGCCGAAAGTTTTGCGGGTCTCCCCATACATTCGCGTCTTGGAGGACTGAATCAAGGTTCAATATGACTGTGACGCCTTGTGGGAAGGTGAATCCCCTGAACTGTACATCATGTGGAACTGTGTGAGGAATACCAATAGGTGCAATATCAGCGTATCTCAAGGTTTCCATAATGGTGGCCTCCACGTAAGGAAGGTTCGTCTTGTCCTTCATGGAGGGTCGTCTGCTCTGACCGACGTTTTCCAGAATCTCTTGGAAGCACTTCTCTTGTACATCCGGGTAGTTCAGGAAGTAGACCAGCGCCCAGCGTATAGTGGTGGACGTCGTCTCCGAGCCTCCAGTAAACAGATCAGTAATAATCTGCGCCAGATTCTCCACTGCCAACACGAATGTAATCTTTAGTGTAAGTTCACGTGACAGATGTAACATGACCCATATAAAACCGGAAACATTACAATTACATGCCTACGAAATACTAGTTGAAATGTGGAAATGCATTAACAGAATCAACCATGTATATAGGTCAGTGTAGATTCAGTGTAGATTCTAAAGGAAACTTCAGCGTCCTCAGTCTGTCAATTTAAGAGATGTTCACAAAACCAACTATACGTTTTGACAAATATAATTCTTAAGTAAAAACCAAAAACCAAATCAAAGTCATGCTTAAATAACATGAGTAAAACAATATGGATTATTGAATGCAATAGCTACATATATACACAATTCATTACATCCTTAGCAGAAATGATGTGCCAGTTATTTGTATTAAATTCTTCACATTCAACCTATTGAACAAATCTAGAAAACAACCCTTTAAAAGTAAATAGCCAACGAATCTCCCTGTCGTGGAAAGGATAATGTACATTCCATGAACATCGTTAAATAACAAAACACACTTACAGTCTAACGTAGTTGTTTCTTGTTTCTGTTGGCGACGTCGCATCTCCTTCAAGTATACATGGATGAAATCGTCCCGATTTTCATCATCGTGATCGTTTAAGTGATCCTTAATGAAAGGTTTAATCAGTAGATTATCCACAATATCTATGTTGTCCATTGATTTTCTGAACTTGAATGGGTCTCCAGGCAAATATCGCACAGCAGGAAAAACGTTTAGTATTCCAGATGCTGCGCTATTTTTAAAAAAATCATCCAATGCTTTCAGAAATGTGATGAAGACATGGTCGGTATATTCAAAACGTTTGCCAAAGACAACGGAACAGATGACATTTGATACGGCATTCTGCAAAAGACGCTCTATGTTGAAACCCCGGCCTTTCTTTTCCTCCAGGGCCACCATAAACTGAGCAATTTCCTCGTGTATTTTGTCCTCCATGATGGTTTTTCCCATTCCAAACTCTCGCAGAGCATTGAGAGCAAATCGTCTCTGTTCATGCCACAAGTCCCCGGAGGTTCCGACTACTCCTGTTTGGAAAAATACAGTTCAACAGAATTCAGCTGTATTTCGTGGAATAAATCTGGCAGTGTTTGTAGACATTGTAGAACAGTGTTGTGTTTGTATCACGTTGTTTCTGTTAAGACTCAGTTTAGGACGGTGGTGACCTGGGTGCCGTTTTACAAAGCGGTCTTAGCGCTAAGGTGACCGTAACTCCCATTACCTTAACATAGACTTACGGCTAGCGTAGCGCTACGGTTGCTTTGTACAACGGCACCCTGGTTAATCTATTAAGAGCCAATACTAGCGTGAAAGGTTCTGGGCCTACACTGGGACGTGCAAGTGCTGGCTGAAGAATTGGAGCAATCTTTTCATGTACACGAAGCGGGTCTCAATCTGGTCCTGGTCACCTTAAATATGACGTCACATATGACGTATCACGGTTCAAGACCAGCAGATGTATGGCGATCGTTTTTCACCCTGGATACTCAGCCTTGGCCCATTTTGAAAGCTTCACCACTGTTCGCGCGATGTGAATCTTAGCATCACTATCTTTGTTGCTACAATCACTGCTAATACATCAAAGTTATATTGAATTTGTATTGCCACGCTGTTTTATACCGTCATTGTAATTAGTTCATTTTAGAATACAATTCTTAATTCTATCACATTTTTGTTGTTTCACGCTATATTCTTTGTATGTATGCATTGCCATAGGTCAGTTGTATAGTGCCACCAGGTTATGGCACGGGTCAGCTGTATAGTGCCGCAAAGGTATGCCATGGGTCAGCTGTATAGTGCTGCAAAGGAATGCCACGGGTCAGCTGTATAGTGCAGCCAAGTTATGACATGGGTCAGCTGTTTAGTGCAGCCAAGGTATGACATGGGTGAGCTGTATAGTGCAGCCAAGGTATGATATGGGCCAGCTGTATAGTGCAGCCAAGGTATAACGTGGGTCACCTGTATAGTGCAGCCAAGGTATGATATATTCCATCTGTATAGTGCAGCCAAGGTATGACATGGGTTATCTGTATAGTGGGGCAGGTGGTAATTCTATACACGTGCGAACCATCTACGATAGTATGGAAATGCATAAAGGTAACAACGGGTGTAAACATGAATGGAAACATTTTTTCGAGAGTTATTTACAATCACAGTAAAGTCTATTTACAAAATAAAAGAGTTATGTCCAGAACATTCCTTGTCTGTTCATGCATAACCATTTCGCATCACTAGGGTAACTGATGCTAGATGTTAAACACCCTGTTTTGTCCTTTCAGGTGCCCTCTTTAAGCTTACTGCATGGACTTCGGCTTTCCCAATCCCCTACATCGTGTCAACAGTGAATGCACATTATTTGTGTTCCTGTACACAGAAGTGTTCACTTTCATCAACGATTATGGACAATGCCGTACAAAAAGCTAAATGACACAACCAAACACATTCTGCATACAATGTTCTTGATTTGACGCTGCTTCCAGCAATGGTAGTTATTGGCACATTTAACGTCTTCAATGTGGATGTCGTGGCTGCCATGTTATAAATGGGATCAGGAGTGTGGTTCAATGGTTAGTATCACTATAAAAACACCTTCAGTTTGGCTAAAATATAAAGAAAACGCACCTTTTCCCTTTGAGAAGAAATCGGTCACAAAGGATCGCGGTCTGTCGGAGAAGACGTCGGCGTTCTTGACAATGGCTTCTTTGATAACGTTGTAGCCGTTGAGGACAATGAGAGGCTTGTGGAAAACATACAGACTGAAAATGTCGCCATACTTCTGTCGGAGGTTCTTGTACAAGACCCGGGGATCAGAGTCCAAGGACAGGGCGTTCCCCAAGAACGGAAGGAGACGGGGGCCGGGGGGAAGTCCAGGTGGGCGCCGCATTGACAGCCATAACACTACCAGTACCACGACCAGAAATAAGGCAACTGTTGTAATTCCAAAATCCCACATCGTCGTCCGCTAGTTTCCAGCCTGTCTAAAACCTGATAGGAGATAGCGAGACTGAGTACAGCTGTGGAGTGTCACATTCACACAACTGACGGATTTATAACACTGCCGGTTATCCATGTTTACAGAGTGAGTCAGCTAAAATAAGTGCATGTCATGCACACGTCTTGTACATGTGTGGAGTGGCCAAGGTCTGCCTCCCAGACCCTGGAGAGTAAAGTATGTGAGAGTAATAGATTGCCCCAGCTCCAGAAATTAAGCATAGGCCCAACACACCTTCTGTATACCATAGGCTCCATGCACTGTAACCGAGACAGTCGTTCTACCGTGTTATAAGAGCGCCAGATAAACAATATTCATATTTAATTGATGATACTCTGTAATTGTCTCATATTTAGTATTAACTTGTCAGATAGGATGGTTAGTGTTATAGATTGTTCCAGCATTCCATGGTGCAAATAAACCCACGTGTACTTACAAAGTAATACGTACATATACTCCTCACAAAAATTAAGCAACACAAATTTTTAGTCTCATTACATTATCATTTATCGAAATTGCAAATCATGGAATGATGCAATAGAAAGGTGACACATATGTACACACGATGAACAAAATGAAATGAAATGGTATTAAGCAACAATAGACTTACAAATCATCAAAAGCATGTACCTGTGAAACAGTCGTGAAAAATGTGCTGCATTGATGTTAACGTTACAGTTGAAGTCAGTTGTGTACAGTGAAGCAGTGTTCAGTAACGCGTATGACCATCATGAGCACGAATGCAAGCTTCTACACGTCTTTCCATTGACCTTATGAGCCTTAAAAGTTGCTGTTGTGGAATGTTCTGCCATTCTTTCTGTAACGCCTGTTCATGTACATCCAGAGTCTTGGGGTGAACATGGAGACCGTAAATGTCCCAAGCTAAGATCAGGTGACCTTGCATGCCAGTCCACATGTGTGCTGTTGTTGATCTAAGCAACATCGTTAACAACTCTTTCTCAGGCATTATCAACATCGTTAACAACTCTTTCTCAGGCATTATCATCCATGGACGGGCATTATCACTAATGAAGTTAGGACCCGCTTGTTGTACCAGAGGAATGATTACAGGTAGGTTTACACCGATCAGGGTGCATGTGTGAAGAGTGGAGCACATTCATGCCACACATTGTGCATGTTGTTTCTGAGGGTGGTTGTGTTCGGGTGATGTTGTCAATGTTATCAGATAAATCAATTTGACAGTCACTAAAGGTTATGTATTCTTTGAATATTTACAATTCAGTAACATGTCAGCAAAAATCGCAATCGAGATTGATAAAGATATAACACTGAAAATACTCGTTGCTTATTTTTGTGTGAGGAGTGTATGTAGTCGTCACGATTGCACATCTGTCAAGATTATCAGCGAACGAGCCATTGGAATGTCGCAGACGGGGGCTTAGCAATAGATGTTTAAGTTGCGAGTTATACCTTCTTCAGACGTTCCCACACTCATCAGTCGTGAGTTCGAATCTCGTATTCCCAACCCCCACATGAAGGCTGCAAAATGTAATACGCTATGGCTGCAACATGGAGTCAACTAGTATCACAGGCGGATCCAGCGAGGGGGGTGGAATGGGGGTGCAGGGGTGCGCACCCCCTCCCCCTTTTTTCCTGAATTTTTATTAAATGACCATGAAACCTCGTGGAATGAGAGCACCCCTCTTTCTCAAAAGTGTGCACCCCTTTTCTCTGAAGGCTGTATCCGCCCTGAGTATTATATCAACAGTACGCTGTCTTCATGTTACAATGGTTCGGTTGTATAAGTTGGTGTTAATTTGTACGTTATATACATATAACAGAGTAGGTTGCATTCCGCGTGTTTAAATATTGTCTCTGTCGTTGTACATTCAGGTATTTTGATCTGCATTAAAGCCACAGTTGGTTGCAATCTGCTTGATTAAGAAACAGTAGGTTTGTATCTGCGCATTTAGTAACCACATCATATAATTCACCTCGTTCACACCCCTTCCCCTCATACACCCCCACCCCCCGTCTCTGTGTGTGGTAGTTCACAATACAGACGGTTGCCCCTGTGTACACACTATGCATGTCGCAGCAAGTAGGCTGTCACTAGCTTTCGACCTGTCACTAGCTTGGTGTGAGCACATTGAATCAGGTATTGGTGACATTGCATAATACCTCTAGAACAAAGGTCATTTAATAGGCCGGTTAAGAGTCATGGTGACCGCCCGGGAAACCCACATTTGAAAAATAACGAAGCCACATTTCAAGTACAAACCCCGTGCCGCAAATCGCCGCGAAAGCCACAATGAGTAAGGGAATCATTACCGTTTATTTTTCAAATATACGTCACCCATTGATCACAATGGATTAAAACTATTTCAGTGACTTGTCCTTTGTCTGTTTAGTTAACATATGATGGGCGGCTTCATACTCGTTGAGCTTTTTGGCTTAAATATGGTAACATTAATCTTTTTATGTTTATTTCGTTTAATTAATATTGCTTTCTCTGGTTATATTGTAGATTGTATTAGCAGCTACTAGTTGAGGGAGGTGTAAATGTTTTGTATTATTTTGAATGTATGTGATAATCACCTTAAGTTATGGATGTTCCATATACTGAACACATTTTATAGGCCGTTTATGAGCCTTTAGACTGCCTTCACATTGATGTAGATTACGTATCTGCATACACAGTCAGTATTATATGAATAAAGATTTTTTCGTTCACAGATGTCCCATATACTGATAACAGCATGGGGCGGGTTATTTTAGAGGCCGTTTAGGAGTCATTAGACAAAGCGTGTGTAACAAAGTTCTGCTGTCTTTACTTTGACGCAGTGATCACTTACTTGACAACGACATTAGAATCTATACACCTGGAGTAAAGTTAAGCACCCCCTGATAATTTTTCAGTGATGAAAGTAAGAACCACATGAAATAATCTACGCAATGAGATGAGCTAAACGATTGTGATCTGTACGAACGACCCACAAACAACAAGGAACAGCCACTTTAGTGAGTTGATATGATATTTAATTCATGATATTGTTGTGCAAACACGGGTGCTATTTTCACCTGAAAACAATACTCCTTTACGTATGGAGCTGCAGAGTTCATGCCATTATAGAATTCTGCACATGCTTCATAAAAATATTGCTTAAGGTCTGTGGATGACATCTGTATGTCAAAATATTCAATAGCGGGGAAACCCTCCATGAGCTTGAATGACAGCCTCAACCCTGCGTCGCATGCTTCCAGTCAGACGCCGGATCAGCTCCCGGGGCAACTGCTGCCACTTCCTATGCAAGGCTGCTTCCAATTCACGTAGATTCGCTACAGTAGGCTCTAATGCCTGTATACAACCAAGATTGTCCCAAATGTGCTCCAACGGATTCAGATCTGGACTCATTGCAGGCCAAGGCAAAGTTGAGCAGTTGCCCTTGAACGATGGGGTCTGTCATTGTCATCCATGAACTGAGGTCTTGTGGCCAGTGGGTGGTTATCAAAATGGGGGACAACAACTGGTTCCAGGACATTTCGGATGTACAGTTCACCTGTAAGGTTGCCTCGTATGGTAACCAGGTCCAACTTTCAATCATGGGAGCAGAAAACGACTTTCATCTGACCAGTGAATTTTTCGCCATGTCCTCAGATTCTACGCACGTCGAGCCAGACACCATGCCAAACGGAGCCTCTGATGGTCATCTGCCAGTAGAGGGCGTTTGATTACTCTTCTGAACCTCAGGCCTACAGCTCTTAAGCGATTTCTGACGGTTCTGTCGGAAAGACGGCGATTAGGTAGCCATTGTCGTTTCAGGTAGGAGTGTAAGCGGGGTAAGGAATACAGAGAGTTTTGATCTTCTATAGAGACTTTATTGTTCATTGTGGATGGATGAATCCATGTAACGAAAAACCTACAACAAAAGACAAGGCAGTTTGTCAGGACATGCCGAGATACATACTCTTATCAACAAATCATACTATAATTCAAATACAATAGACATGATAATTACTACTTATTGATGTTGACCAGCAAAAGTATTACATATGATCAATCAATAATATAACATCACTCTTGACTTTTTGAACAATAGATGAAATGTACATGAACTGAGGTTGATTAATTAACATGGCTGAAAATATCAGTAACATTCAAACCCATCTCTACACATGAATCTTATTACAATACAAAATATCCTATGAGACGTGTTACGCTTACGGCTGAGAATTACAAAATGCAATTAATGTTAATAATTATGAAAATGAGGATGTACAGAACTGCCCCTTTAACTCACCCCCAGGAGAACACTCCTTTCAGCAACGGTCAGTGGTCACATGACCCAGGGCACGGACCAACTAGTCCTAATATCAAAACAATAATTATACTTAGTACGATAATAACCAAACGTTATTATGCAGTAAAATACAATATAATTCTAACAACTGTGCATAGAAATGGCATAGTTTATGAATATAATCGAGGAGAGGTAATCAGAAACATTTGTAAACAAAACACTGCACAACGAGGGAAGGGAGGTAACTCTTTGTGATCATCACGAACAAAGAAAAACTTGCTTGTTTCGACCCATAATGGTCATACAAAACTATTCTACAAATAACAACAATTTCAGTGAATAATTTACAATTCACTCGCATTAAAATATGTTGAAACAAAGACTAGGATTAATAATACTAAAAGCACGTGGACTACACACAAGTTGTTGTGAATCTTGTGAGGATGACCCTCTCGCTTGTGCTTGAATGTTATGAATGAAATATTACAAAACACGGCCTTTCTAACACCTCTAACCTATTGCGAACATAAAAGCAAAACACTATGAGCCAAGAGCATGTACTCACATTGAAACTGTTGTGGCTAGCAGAAGAAACGATTGACTTGTCTGCTTGAAAACTGCGCTACATATGAGAGGTGATGGCGCGAAATGGAACAATAGCGAACTGCACTATGGGAAAAGATTTTATATCTTTTTACATCAAACACCTAAAAGTTGGATAAACGTTAATGGAACATATTATTTTTAATGATAAATAGATTAGAAAGATTTATAATTACGAAAATGGTGTATTTGTTGGTGATATGAAATTCCTGTTTCCGACTACTTCCGGAAACTGCCGAAGATAGCGACGTGAAAACAAGGGCAAAACAAATGTATATAGAAACTCCTTTACACTCCCCTGCTAAATAGTTGACCCCTGACAACTATAGACAGTAACCACTGGCTGTGCCTTATAAAATAGTGTAACCACACAGTGAAAGAAAAGGTATTTCACAGGGACAGTGCATGATTGTACTTTTTGCACACCTTGACACATGACTTATATAACAAAAATAATAATTCTAACTAATGACTAGACTAACATTGTAACACATCATGGCACCTGAGAAAATACTGATATGGCACTGTTCAGAAAATACTGATATGGCATTGTCCATTTGATAAGAGTTCACTTTGTCGTTGAGTTTGCCAATAGCTGCAACAACAACAGTTGAGATTGGCTGATGTTGGCCAACACTGTAGGATCGATCTGTGGGGATGATGTTACTTCTTGCTGCAGGGCTGACCGCGGCAAGTTATGTGGATTGGGATGTTGTCCAGCAGTCGATCTGGTGCTGTGTCGTCGTTTGGGAGCTCCACTTGAGTCAAGCTCCCCTGCTTCAAGTGAAGCACTATTATTGTCCTCAACTGTATCAGGCATGTCAGCAACTCTGCTGTCACACACAACACCATTACGATTGTCATTCACAACACTGTCACTAGGAACCTCATTATCATTCACAACACTGTCACTAGTAACCTGATTATCACAATGGTTGCTGGCGGTAGCAATATCAACACAATCACCAACAACACGGTTGATTGTAGTAGAATTAGCTTCGGTTTCACAAACAGGAATCTCAGGGGTGTCTGACTGGCACATTTCATCATTGTCACAACCAAGCATGTCAGGCTCCCCTGCTGTGCATGAAGCACTTCCCACAAGATTCCCATTGCTCACTAAATTGGGTGTTGGTCGCACTATGGTGAAGGTACATGATTCTGGCAAGAGGTTATCTTCGACGTCTTCTGGGACAACCTCTGGGATCGTCCGATGAATCTGGTGATTGCGGTTTACTTCGATGAGGGTGGCTGGTTGCTGGTCTTCTACAAGGGTTCTGGAGTCCAGTAACTGTTTCCTATGGACCGACTTTTCACCCTCACCACTCAATGGTTGAATGACATAGACGTTATTTTCTTTCCTTCCTATGACCTTGTAGGGCTCTGGACGCCATATGTCCTGAATCTTATGACGCCCCAGAGGATGGTTCCGTAGGAAAACTCTTGCACCAACTATCAGCTGCCTGTCGTTCGTGTCCTGGTTGAGAGTGGAGCTCCGTTTGAGAGCAGCCTCCTCTGTCCTCTGACTGGCTTGATTGAAAGCTACCTGTAGCCTTTGGTGGTGCTCTGTAATCCAGTCATTGTCATCACTTTCCTCAACCTCACTGCCAATAACAAGATCCACAGGCATTTTAGGATCTCTGCCGAAGAACAGGTAGTATGGTGAATACTTGGTTGTAGCATGTGGTGTGCAGTTATATGCATACATTAGTTCAGGAAGAAGGGTAGGCCATTTCTTTTCTGAGCAGGGGCAGTGTCCTGAGCATGTTGTGAAGAGTTCTGTTGAAACGCTCACATTGGCCATTACCTTCAGGGTGGTATGGTGTGGTCCTGGTTTTCTTCACTCCATAGACACTGCATAACTCCTGTATGACCTTTGACTCGAAATTTCTCCCTTGATCGCTGTGTAAACGCTGCGGAACACCCAGACGGACAAACCACTCTTTGACAAGTATCCTTGCTACGGTCTTGGATGTCTGATCCCTTGTTGGAAAGGCTTGTGTATATTTTGTGTAGACATCCGTCAGCACTAGTACATTCTCCAGTCCATGGCTTCCTTTTTCCAACACAGTGAAATCCATCGCCAATATTTCGAGAGGTCGTTTGGCTATGATATAACCAAAGGAGGGTTTAACTGAAGGTCCATGTTTACCGAGCAGGCAACGTTCACAACGCTTGCAGTACTCTTCGATGTCCTTGGCCATGTATGGCCAGAAGCACCTCAATTTCAGAATTGAATAGGTTCTCTCTGCACTCTGGTGTCCACATTCATCGTGACTTGATGTTAATATTCTGGGGAGTAGTTTTTCCGGGAATTACCATCTGAGAAATTGTCTTTCCATCTTCAGTCACTTTTCTGCAGAGAACACCGTTGTACAGGGTCATGTTTTTCCAGCTCTTGACCAGTTTCCGGGTCTTCGTATCTTCTCTGAGCAGAGTTCGCTGAGATGGATAACGATCAAGTTTAAAATAGTGTAGAAACTTTCCGATGCTGGGATCGTCTGCCTGGAGCTTTGCCATTTCATCGTGTGACACTGATGGGATTCGTGTGCTGGGGGATGATCCTTCACGCATTGGAGTTGCGGATGGTTTCCATGCGAACAACATTGAGGTCTTGCTGAATCTGTAGTTTCAGATCGACAGGCAGACGACTTGACACTGCAGGTAGTTGCTCTACATGGTTGGCATATACAGACTCTAGGCGGGCTCTGTCTGCTGTATGTTCTACTTTTCTGCTCAGAGAATCAGCATTTCTGTTCTTCTTGCCTGATCGGTGCCTGATGGTGAGGTTGAACTGCGCTAACTCTCCGATCCATCTGGTTTCTGTGGCTCCCAATTTGGCTGTGGTCTGGATGTAGCTCAGGGGATCATTGTCCGTATACACCATGCAATCTGCTCCCAGAAGAAAATCCCTGAATTTTTCTGTGACGGCCCACTTCAATGCTACTAACTCCAACTTCATGCTTGAGTAGTTCTCCATGTTCCTTTCACCGGGTCGGAGTGATCGGCTGGCAAAACTTAAAACAACTCTCCCTGTTTCTTGGTCCTGTGATAACACAGCTCCCAGGCCATAGTGGCTGGCGTCAACCTCCAATATGTATGGCCTTGTGAAGTCGGGATGTCCCAAGACAGGTGCCGTGGTAAGTCTATGCTTCAGTTCCTCAAAGGCCTTTTCACATGAACTGTCCCAAGCCTTCATACCACGTCCAGTTTCAGTCTTTCGTTTGCCTTTCTTCCCTTTTGTCCTTCCTTGTAAGAGAGAGTGAAGTGGTGCTGCCACGCTTGCAAATGATGGTACAAACTTCCGGTAATATCCCGCCAGACCAAGAAAACCTCTAAGCTCTGTTTCCGTTTTAGGAATTGGCCATCTGGTTACTGCTTCAATCTTCTCAGGGTCGGGAGAGATACCTGTTTGAGAAACTAGATGTCCCAGATACCTAAGTTTCTCCTTGAACAGTTGGCACTTTTCCGGTTTAACCTTCAAGTTGAATTTTGACACCCTTGTCAAAACCATGTCCAATCTTTCTAATGTCTGTTCGAATGTCGTGCCGAAAATAAGGATGTCGTCAAGGTAAATGAGAAGAGTTTGAAAGTTCTCGTCACCAAAGATTCTGTCCATCAGACGCATGAAGGTGCCTGGTGCCCCAGTCAATCCGAATGGCATGCGGAGATATTCATATAGTCCACCTGTTCCGACTCTGAATGCCGTCTTTTCAATATCTTCCTTGGCGACTGCAATCTGGTTAAAGCCGTGAGCAAGGTCCAAGCTACAAAAGTATTTCGCACCCTTTAGGACTGTCAAAGCTTCGTCTATCCTTGGCAAAGGATATGCGTCCTTACGTGTCTTCAAGTTCAGCGAGCGATAGTCACAACATACTCTCAGCTTTGTTCCTTTCCTAACAAGCACCACAGGAGCGGCATAGGGACTGGATGACTCCCGGATGATACCTTTCTCCAACGACTTGCGTAGATAATCGCGGACCTCTTGCCATTGGCTTGGTGGTATACGCCGGTGGGGAATCCTGACAGGTATATCGTCCATAGTTGGAATCTTGTGTTCAATGGCATCACAGAATCCTATGTCGTCCTCGTCTTTGCTGAATACATCAGAGTGTTTGTTGATTAATTCCTGCAGTTTTTGTTGGCAGGAAGAAGGAAGACTCTCACTAACATCCATACGCTGTAGGAGGCTGTCAACAAGCTGTGACTTCAAGCTGTTTCCACCTGTATCTGTGACTTGTACTTCATTGCAGCTGACCTCCACAACATCGTAAGTTGGTTCAACTTCGGCCAGGTTTAAAACTCCAACCTGTGTCCTTGGATTGAGATATATAGCCTTGTCGCTGAAATTGGCAACTTGGCACGGTACTCTCCCTGTAGAGTCCACATTGACCACAGTTGGACCCAATTTAAGTCCAACTGGCAACGGAGCAGAGATTTCCTCAATGATGGCGGTGTAGGACACCTTGCTCGGCTGAACAGTTCCCTCAAAGACCATGAGTGATCGAGCTGGGACAAGGATGGGCTTTTACCAGAAACTCTTATCCTGAGATTTTGTTTTGTTGAGGCAGGAATTTGATTGTAGTATGCCAAAACTTGGTGAACGTCCTTGGGTACTTGGAGATTGTCTTGCGTTACCTTAAGTCTTATATCTCGAAGGGCATTGGATCCAAGTACTCCAGGAACTTTCTGTTTCCGTGTTCTTGTGTCCTCGTCAGTTGGATCTTTGACGACCATGAACCAGATTATACCCATGTTATGTCCAAAAGCTTTAATCTCCAGAGCGAGGTATCCCAGGTAGGGTATGTCCTGTCCATTCGCGGCAGTAATGCGAATCAACCTTCCCATGTCCAATAACTCCTCTGCTGACAGGTGCTCCTTGTAGAAGGACTCGGTGATTGTCGACACCTGAGCTCCAGTATCAATCAGACATGTAAGGCTCATTCCATTCGCAGTAATGCTGGTCTCTGGGCATTTCCCTACCACTCTATACAAGAAGGGACCATTTGTTAAACTTTCCTCGGCTCCCACAGTGAGGTCCTTCACGGTGGGAATCACTGGTTTAAAGCTTGTTTGGGGGGGGGTTTCTCCGGTTCTGGGGACACCTTCTTTGGATGTGGCCTTCTTCTCCGCAGCTCCAACAGGTCCTTGGTCCTCGAGGCCTGCTGCTATTGAGCAAGCTGGCGATCTGTTCTTGTTGACGTTCAATGATGGCCTCTTGTCGTTTGAGTATATCTGCCATTTGGGCTTGATGTTCCTGAGCGTATACTATTGATCTTTCTTTGGAATTGCCCCCTAGCCATTCAATGACACGGTCGCGGAGATCCAGGAAGGATAGCTCTGGATGCTCACGAGTCAGCCTTCTGATTTCCGCCTCTGGACTTCATGGTAGGCTGACTCGGCAAGCTGTCCCTTCAGTGCCATCTCCTTCATACCATGGAAAGTGCTATCAATTTCCACGATCTTGTCGTACAGTTCGATTAGGTCAAGCGAAGTTGTTACGAGGTCGCTACCAGCTGTCTGGCGGTAAGAATAGAAGCGGTGTTGGGCTGCTGGCAAGTCATTTCCCTCTCCGAACACCTTCCTCAGGGTCTTGATGATCTGACACGGAGACTTCCTGACATCAGGTCCTCTTGCAAGGATTTCCTGGCGAGCCCGTCCACCCAAGTTGTCACATAGAAGAACCGCATAGTCCTCCTCAGACAACTTCCTTGTCTCAGCGGAGACTTTCAGGTCCGAAATCCACTCTTCAAGCGTGGTGTCACCAGCTCGTAGAGGCTTGTCTTTGAAGCGTGGTAGTTGTCGACCAGTTGAGAGGACGAGTGGCTTGCTGGCACTAGCAGACAACGATAGCTCCTGGTCCCGAACTTTAATGCGAAGTGCTTCGAGTTCCATGGCAAGCAATTCCATTTTCTTTAAGTTTGGATCTGCCACAACAACTGCTGGTTCCTCATCTGCCATCTTGTTCTAGCCTCCCTGGGGGTTTTCCACAATAACTGCTCTGTATCCCACTTCTGACACCAAATGTAAGCGGGGTAAGGAATACAGAGAGTTTTGATCTTCTATAGAGAGACTTTATTGTTCATTGTGGATGGATGAATCCATGTAACGAAAAACCTACAACAAAAGACAAGGCAGTTTGTCAGGACATGCCGAGATACATACTCTTATCAACAAATCATACTATAATTCAAATACAATAGACATGATAATTACTACTTATTGATGTTGACCAGCAAAAGTATTACATATGATCAATCAATAATATAACATCACTCTTGACTTTTGAACAATAGATGAAATGTACATGAACTGAGGTTGATTAATTAACATGGCTGAAAATATCAGTAACATTCAAACCCATCTCTACACATGAATCTTATTACAATACAAAATATCCTATGAGACGTGTTACGCTTACGGCTGAGAATTACAAAATGCAATTAATGTTAATAATTATGAAAATGAGGATGTACAGAACTGCCCCTTTAACTCACCCCCAGGAGAACACTCCTTTCAGCAACGGTCAGTGGTCACATGACCCAGGGCACGGACCAACTAGTCCTAATATCAAAACAATAATTATACTTAGTACAATAATAACCAAACGTTATTATGCAGTAAAATACAATATAATTCTAACAACTGTGCATAGAAATGGCATAGTTTATGAATATAATCGAGGAGAGGTAATCAGAAACATTTGTAAACAAAACACTGCACAACGAGGGAAGGGAGGTAACTCTTTGTGATCATCACGAACAAAGAAAAACTTGCTTGTTTCGACCCATAATGGTCATACAAAACTATTCTACAAATAACAACAATTTCAGTGAATAATTTACAATTCACTCGCATTAAAATATGTTGAAACAAAGACTAGGATTAATAATACTAAAAGCACGTGGACTACACACAAGTTGTTGTGAATCTTGTGAGGATGACCCTCTCGCTTGTGCTTGAATGTTATGAATGAAATATTACAAAACACGGCCTTTCTAACACCTCTAACCTATTGTGAACATAAAAGCAAAACACTATGAGCCAAGAGCATGTACTCACATTGAAACTGTTGTGACTAGCAGAAGAAACGATTGACTTGTCTGCTTGAAAACTGCGCTACATCTGAGAGGTGATGGCGCGAAATGGAACAATAGCGAACTGCACTATGGGAAAAGATTTTATATCTTTTTACATCAAACACCTAAAAGTTGGATAAACGTTAATGGAACATATTATTTTTAATGATAAATAGATTAGAAAGACTTATAATTACGAAAATGGTGTATTTGTTGGTGATATGAAATTCCTGTTTCCGACTACTTCCGGAAACTGCCGAAGATAACGACGTGAAAACAAGGGCAAAACAAATGTATATAGAAACTCCTTTACATACGAGTATCATCCAAACAAAGTTGTATAATTGCGGATCGTCTAAGCTTAAGCAATTAGGTAAGTCGGTGTTATGTGTAATATTGCTTGTTTGCTCCTGGGTTCATTTAGTTCGTTTTCATAACAGCACCGTATCCTTCTGGGTAGCCAAGGGGTAGAAATATTTATACATTATTATACAGATGTCATGCCTAATACAAGCTTATACATGTTGACAGTTCACAACACAACAGTCTTCAAACATGAGTAGATACATTCAAGTATTACTGCACAAAGATCATAAGTTTTACACATTGAAGAGTCATAACACATCATACATGTTGTGTAATGGGCGCCCGTTTACTCCACATTCGTCTGGCTGGTTTTTCATTTTGGCAACCTATCTTTCAAAGAAGTGATGGAGGATTTTTGGGTCAATATTAAATTTTTAATACAGCTTATGCATTAAATATGTATATCTTTTCCCATCCGTGGATTGACACATATTGTAATTCGCAATCTCAAAATTCTACTTTAAGCTGTTGAAGAGTCATGACACATCGGTCCATGTTGCGAGTAGTGGTAGCCATTTACTCATACATTCATTTAGTTGGTTTTTTATTCTAGCAACATATCTCTCAACTTGAAAAATATCTTTCAAGGTAGCACTAAAAGATTTGAAAGATAGAGATTCATTTCTAATACAACTTATGTATATATATCTTTTTCCAGCCAAAAGAATGTGGTTCACCAGTTTGAAGTTTGCGGTCCCTTGGGTACCAAAGAGGATGGATTTAAGATTAAGCTGAATCTCATAACACAAATGTTGTCTCAAAAATTGTTCCAGATTGTACCAGAAATGACTAACCTGTGGACATTCAAAATATACGTGCACAATCGATTCGTTTTCATTGTTACATCTTTGACAAATACTATTGTCGATCAGCTTCATCTTAAATAATTCCTTTTTGGTGTATATAATGCGATGCAAAAATCTATATTGGAAATCTTGTAGCTTGATATCTCTACAACATTGTTTAGGAAGACTAAATATTTCCTTCCAGTTTAAGTCAGTTAAGAACATTTGTTGCCATTTACTACAAATAATAGGGAGATAATTATTTTGCATGAGTATATCATAGATCTTCCGAGATCCCTTTGCTGGTTTAATCCATTCCATTAGAAAGTTATTCATCCTAAGATCGTAAACACATATAGGTTTAGAATTGTCTATCACCTTTATCCATTCTTTAGGGAGATTACTAACAACTCGCTGATGGTCCAGATAAGTACCCTTGAGGCTGAATTTTTTTTCAAGTCTACAAAGGATAGGAGCCCATTCTCATCACATAGGTCTCTTATATAATGCACTCCTTTACCGAACCAGTTTTCTATAATAAAATTTGAGTCTGTACACTGGTGGTTAAACCATATAGGTTCAGCTAGAATAGCCTGAATATCTCTTGCATCTGTCAAATGAGACCTATAGTATTTACTCCAAATATATATCAAATCCTGCCAGTAGGGGTTATCAATTTTACAAAGTCTGTAAGACGATACATGGGCACCCAGTTGAAAAAGGAGTTTTAAAGGAAAGTAACTATTATAGAGGTTCTTGAACATGCTTTTTTTCAGGATACTGAGCTTTAGAGATGATATGAACACATTTATATCTACCATTCTCAATCCACCATTTTCATAGCTTCTTGTCAAGTTCGCCCGTTTAATTTTATCAGGCTTAGAGTTCCAAATAAACTTAAAAAAATTGAACTTTGTTCATCAACAAATTCTTTGGGTGGTTGCGGCAGAGCAGAAAATATGTGAACAAGAGTAGATAATGCTAAAGTTTTTATCACAGTTATTTTTCCAATTAATGTCAATTTACGTTTACGCCAATTTGCTAGTAATCTCGTAATGTTTTCTAGTCTTTTTCTGGTGTTGATAACCCATAGTTTTTCTAAATTTGCGTTTAGTTGAATACCAAGAACTTCAAAGTCACCATGAATCCAATCTAGATTAACATCTTCGCACACTTTAATATTCTTTCCAATCATTGACCCAAGCCATATTGCCTTAGTTTTATCTGAATTCATTCTTAATCCTGAATAATAGTAAAAACTTTCCAAAGTATTAAGTGCTGCTCTTAGGCTTTCTTCTGAGCCGTCCAAAAAAAGCTGTGTATCGTCAGCATACTGCCCTAATTTATACTCTATGTTTATTAAATAAATGCCTTTAATCGTATCATTATGTCTAATCATAGTGGCCAGTATTTCGGCTACAAAAAGAAATAAATATGGGGAGATTGGGTCCCCCTGTCTACAGCCTCTACCATTGTCAAAAAATGAAGAGAGATGGCCATTTTGTATGACACAAGAGGTTGCATTGCTTATCAAAATGTGTACCCACTTTATCATCTGAGGACCAAAGCCAAACCTTTCCAGAACTTTAAGTATAGCTATTTTTGACACGGAATCAAAGGCTTTTTCAAAGTCTATAGAAAGTAGCATACCTTTCTTATTTTTAGATTTTGTTTCCAGGATGATATCATACAATAATCGTATATTATCCGCTAAAGATCTCCCTGGAATAAATCCTGTTTGATTTTCATGTATCAAAAGATCCAAAACAGTCTTCATTCTCTTAGTGATATATGTGCTAATAATCTTGTACAAACAATTTAAAAGGATGATTGGTCGCCAGTTTTTAAGATAGGACCTATCCTTGTTTCCTTTAGGCAGACATGTTATAATTCCTCTGTTAATGTTCAGACTCAAACAGCCGTTACAAAGTGATTCACTGATATATCTGTGCACCCAAACCTTTAGTTCTTTCCAGAAAAACTTAAAAATTCTATTGGAAAGCCGTCTACCCCGGGGCTTTTGTTATTTTTCATTCCTTTTACTGCTTTTGAAATTTCATCCAATGTAATTTCTTTTTCCAAATTGTCTCTTTGTTGTTTATCTAAAGAAGGAACTGGAACTTTTGAGAGGAAAACCTGAATTTCCTTTTCTGAAGCTCTATCACTTTGGGAGTACAGATTTTTATAAAACTGTTTTTGTTCTTCTAGGATTTTTTTACCATCTAATATTATTTCTCCTTTATCATCTATTAATTGATTAATCAACTTGCTTGTGTAATTTCGGTTTTCCAAATGACAGAAGTATTTTGTCGGCTTTTCACCTTCCTCATACCATTTTATTCTGTTCCTTATTTGAATCCCTCTAGTTACTTCTCCCCTTAACTTTTCAATTTCTTCTTGAAGTTTGGTAAGTTCATTTAGTTTTTCTTCCCTTATATTTTGAAAGTTCCTCCTAATTTCGTTTTCAACTTCGCATATTCTATCTTCCAACTGTTCAATTTTACAGCACCGGTTTTTCTTCAGAAATGAAGACATAGATATGGATTCGCCTCTAACTTTCATAAGAAATGTTTCCAGAAACAAAGTGTCACTAATGGTTAATTTAAGGTTTTTGTCGCTAATATCTTGTATTTCTTGATATATGTTTCTATTGAGATATTCTTGTTTCATATCTTTCAAAATTGTATTGACTTTTTCAACATAATCTTTATTGTGTAATAAAGAGGTATTAAATTTCCAATAACCCTTACCTTTTTCTTTAGACAAAGTATTTGATATTGATATTATAACTGCTGAATGGTCTGATTTATATCCTGGGACAATATTGCATTCTATTGTAAGATTTGCCAAGTCTTGAGATAGTAAAAAGAAATCCAACCTAGCCTGCTGTCTAGGATTTTTTTTCCACCATGTAAAACATTTAGAGCCTTGGTTATATTGTCTCCAAATATCCAACAAATCGTAATTTTCTATCATTTCTAGGACCACTTGCCTGGCTTTAGGGTTGTTAACATGCCGATAGTTTTCTAAATCTATTGATGGTTCAAGTACGAAGTTCCAGTCTCCACACAAGACCAAAGAATCATTTTCTAGGCTGTCGATATTTCTAAAAATATTCTCATAGAAAGTTGGGTCATCATTGTTTGGGCCGTAAATATTTGAAAGGGTAAGTTTTATACCATCAATTGAGATATCTGCAATAATAAAGTTGCCATTAGGATCTTTTATTGTTCTATGTATTTTGACTTCAATATTGTTATTAAAAAGAATGGCAACCCCTCTTGCATTAGATCTATAAGGGGCAATAATGCACTCTAATCCCCATTCGTTTCTCATTAGTAGTTCATCTTTTTCAGCAACGTGAATATCTTGTAGACAAATAATTGAGCAACATTTTTTTCTCCATATGTTCATTATTTCTCTACGCTTGTTTTTCTCCCCGAGGCCCCTGCAGTTTACCGACACTATTTTAATTTTATTATCCATGGTCATGTTTGACAAAGTCAAAGGTATTCATAGGTATTAATACGTCTATGGCAACATGGTTATTTTTGGAAGTGATTAACGCGTAGCATGAAGTACCTACAAATGTGGAATTTGTAGTTAATAAACAGAAGTAAAAAGACAGAAAACAAAATGTATAAAAACAAAGAAAAAGCCTGGAGGCGATGTTGGTCAACTGGATTCACCCTGCCCACATAAGTTAAGAAAGCATTATGCAGTTGTATGTGAAAATGGATGATATTCGTTGAAGTTACTTGTACAACAAAAACTTTACTTTGCATGGTGCAAAATAACAGAGATAAACATTTACATTCTAAAAGCAAACCTTCGCTGAGTTCGTATAATGTGAAAAAGCAAAGAAACACCATTCAAAGTTCTGAAAACATACATTACAGGAATGACTGTACCTTTAGAACATAAGAGATTAAGGAACAATGTTATCAACACAAAGTTATCCTGCCCAAACAAAACTACACTTGAAGTGAATTATAATTGCGTTATGGAATGGAAGATCAAGTTTTCCACTGGACATGGTGCGAAGCCACAAAAAGAAAATATCTTTCGGCATTCTCATAGCAGATGTTGACTAAAACCATTAAAGTTTATCAGTAAATAAAACTTAGGACCATTGTTCAACCTGGAGTTATCCTGCC